TAGCCAATGTCCAAGTTGCCCCTCCCTGTCTACTCTGGGTATGGAGGGGGTGGGAATGATCCTTGCTTAAATGTTCTTTATTTCAACCTCATAGTCATTTGAAAATTTACCTCTATATAGAATCATCTTCACTCAGATATTTTAAATTATTACATCATTGTCTCTGGCAGTGCCATTCTGGTTCTTACATGTTTTGTGTGTGGGTTTTTTTTTGTTGTTGTTGTTTGAGGTATAAAATGTGGGCTGAGGGTTTTATTTAGTTAGTTACTTAGTTAGCTTTACTTTCTAGTAACTGATATAATAACTACAACTTTGGCTTCAGAAAATTTTAAGATGATGAGCTATTTGTTAAATAATTGTTCTGGGCATTCAGTGGATTTTTCCAATCTGTGGTCTAATGTTCTCATGTTCTAGGAACAGTTTTTTTGAATCATGTCTAAGAATTCCTTTCCTCTCTTCTTAAGTCCCTGTAACACCAGGAGGTCTGATGTTACAGTGGTTTAAGCATTGGGCTGCTAACCACAAGTTCAGTGGTTCAAATTAACCGGCACAAAGATAAGACTGTCCACTGCCATAAAGATTTTTTGTCTTGGAAATCCTACAGAGAAATTTTCCTTTATCTTACGGGAGCTCTATGAGTTGGAATTAACGTGATGGTAGCAGATTTTTGGTTGATTTCTCAGAGTCTATTAGCTCTGGTAGCGTAGTGGTTACGAATCGGGCTGCGAACCTTAAGGTCAGCGGTTCGAAACTACCAGCCGCTCCGCGGGAGAAAGATGAGGCTTTCTACTCCCGTAAGGATTTACACCCTCGGAAACCCTGTACAGGGTCGCTATGGGTCGGAACCGAATCGACGGCACTTAACAACAACAATTAGCATAGTGATTATGAATTGGGTTGCTAATCTCAGGGTCAGCAGTTCGAAACTACCAGCTGTTCTGTGGGAGAAAGATGAAGCTCTCTGCTCCCATAAAGATTTATAGCCTCGGAAACCTTGTATACGCTCGCTATGAGTCAGAACCAACTCCACGGCACATAACCTCCAACCACCACCATTATTATTTGGATATTGACTCTCCTGGATAGATCCTGTAACTTTCGCATTGTTTTTCTTCACATTTTTAATATAATTTGGGGTCAGGGAAGGCGTTATACTGTTCTTTAAACTATAGTGCTTCCATTAC